CATCCAGATAGCTCAGTGGACTAAAGCGCCTGCTTAGGCAGAGCGCAGTGGCCAGGGTTTGATCCCCGCCTGCCGTGCCAGCCCCAACCCCGGGGTGCACTGAGACGCAATTGAGACTGTGATCCCAGCACTCAAGAGGCTGAAAACAGGAGAATCACTACAAGTCTGATCTACGTAGTGAGACCCTATGGACCCTGTACTAAAAATACAAAAGAGGAGGAAGAGGAGGAGGAGAAGGAAGAAAGAAGAGGAAGAATACTAGGGAGCTCTACACTGAGCTACTTCCCAGCCCTTTAAAAAAAATTTATTTTTTATTTTTTTATTTTGAGACAGTCTAAATTGCCCAGGCTGGCTTTGAAATTGTGATTCTCCTGCTTCAGCCTCTTGAGTAGCTAGGATTAAAGTCATAATGTCCCCTGAAGGGCACTGGGGTCCAGCTTGGTGACACCACCCTCCTGATCTCTGCCCCTTTCCCCTCAGGAAAGTCCTGGGGACCCAGATGCTGCCCTTGAGTGAGGACTGCAGACTCCAAGCTCTTAATCTGCTTGGCTCCTAAGCCCTACATATTAGGGAGTTTTAAATAGCTGTGTGGCCCCAGCTATCCCCAGAGGCACATGGCCAGGCACACTTGATGTTACCTATCAGGTGAGGGGACAGCAGGGTGAGAACTAGGCTCGTGGATCTGGATTCTTTTACCACAACACTTGCCTGAGTTGTTCTAAATAAATGGAAGATTTACTGCTGAAACCCAGTATCTCAATGTGCCACCCACCAGGGCAGGCACGGTGGCTTAGCTGCGGCTGAGATGGGAGACAGGGTTCAAACTCCCCTGCCCACCCCCTCTGGCTCCTCGGGAGGATGCACCTGACAGGGCCAGGTCACACAGGCTGCCTTCCTGCTGTGTGGCCTTCAACTCAGGCAAGGAAAGTCAAGCTGGGTCCCTGGGTGCTTGGATTTGGGATGTCTTGGCCCTCAGTGACCAGGCAGCCCTGCCTGTTCCTAGTCAAAGCACCCACAGGGCATGGTAAGATGGCCCTGCCCTGGCCAGGACAGCATGACTCTCCGCCCTCCTCCCTTGTCTTCATAAGCTGCGCAGACCTTTGCACCAGCACCGGGTGTTCAGTGACCCCCTTTGGAAGTGTCACACTTGTTTCAGAGACAGAGATACATGTCTTGTGGAAGGGGCAGAGGAGCCCCCAAACTCAGCCTCTGATCTGCTTTGCGGATCCCTCTGTCTCCACCAGAAGCAAAGGCAGGGCAGGGACTAGATGCACTCCTGAGGGAAACAGTTGCTCCAGGAACACTGGATAAACCAAGCCTCTGCTTTCAAAGGTCTCCCCGCCTAGCCAGGCGTGGGGATGCACGCCCATGATGTCAACACTCTGGGAGGCTGAGGCAGGACTGCGAGTTCCGTCCCAGTCTCAGATAAAAAGTGCTGAGAGTTTAGCTCAATGTGAAAACCTTGGGTTCAGTCCCTAGTGCCGGAAGGAAGGAAGGAAGGAAGGAAGGAAGGAAGGAAGGAAGGAAGGAAGGAAGGAAGGAAGGAAGGAAGGAAGGAAGGAAGGAAGGAAGGAAGGAAGGAAGGAAACACCTGGCTCCCAAATGACTATAAACAGAGCCCTCTTCCAGGGACCCTCTGGTCCCTGTTGCTCTTCTTCACCCCAGGCAGCCCCCTGCCCACCTTGTTGAAGTCAAACGTCTCGAACATCTGCTCCACGTACTTGGAGGCTGACGGGCTCAGGTTCTTGAGGCCAAAGAACTGGCGGAACTCGTAGAGGGTGAGCTGGCCCGAGGGGCACTCGGTCATGAACTTCTTGTACCACTGGTGGCACTCGGTGCTGCTCAGCTCCTCCACTGACTTGCCCTCCACCACGTTGCCCATGGCCCGGCCTTGGGAGGCTGGCACCCACGCTGGACAGAGGCAGCCACGTGAGGATGGTGTGGTAGCTGGGACCTCTGCACCCAGAGGACCAATCGAGGCGCCAGAGGAGAGGGGGGCTGGCTTGCGCCTGGGTTAGGCACGCCAGAGCCCAATGTTAAAAGTCTCCGCTAAGCCCTGGCAGCAGGGCTGCATCCAGAGTAGCAGCTCCCCAGATTATGGCCTTGAGCTGGGGGAGAGGTTTTCACCACCCAGCTGGCGATCTCCTAATCCCACTTAGCACCCATGGGTGGCCAGCCAGTAGCTGCTCTGATCCTGCGGTTTCCGTGTGCCCTGCTTATCCTGTTTTTGGAATTCATGATGTTCTGATCTGGCTCCCAGACACAGTGGATAGACTTGCTTACAACCAGAAATGGTGGCGAACACTTGTAATCCCAACATTTGGGAGGCTGAGGCAGGAGGATCGCTGCCAGTTCAAGGCCAACCTGGGCTGCATAGTGAGTTCATGGCCAACTTGAAGTGTGTAATGAGACCTTGTACCTCTCCACAAAAAAAGAAAAAATTGTGTTTGTTTTGAGGTTTTTTTTTGAGACAGGGTCGCACGATGCAGTTCGTGCTGACCTTGAGCTCACTTTGTAGCCCAGGCTGGTCTTGAACTCCCAATGATTCTCTTGCCTCTGCTTCCTGAGTGCTGGAATTACAGGCATAAAAAGGTTATCCAAAAAAAAAAAGTTGTCAAGGGCTGGCAAGATAGCTCAGTGGTCTAAAGCGCTTTGCTTGGAGCCGGGGAGATGGCTCAGTAGAATAAGCGCTTGCCTGGCAAGTGGAAGGATCTGAGTTCAATCCCCAGTTCCGACACAAAAAAAAAACACAAATAAAATAAAACGCTTTGCTTAGGCAAGTGCACAGGGACTGGGGTTCGATCCCCGGCACCCAGGGCCACACCAGCACGCCCCCAGGGTGGGCTGAGCTAGCCACAAGTACACATAAAAAGTTATCAAGCATGGTGGCACATACCTGTAATCCCAGCACTCACGAGGCTAAGGCAGAATCACTGAAAGTCTTTGGCCAGCCTGGTCCATATTGTCTTTTTTTTTTTTTTTTTTTTTTTTTGACGGAACCGGGGATTGAACTCAGGCCCTTGCGCTTGCCAGGGAAGCGCTTATTCTACTGAGCTATCTCCCTGGCTCCCACCTGGTCCATATTGTGAGCTCAAACCCAGACAGACCAAGACTATCTCACCTATACTCTCCTGTGGGATGGATTTGGGGTGGGGATCTGGGACCCATCTTGGAGGATTTGCTTGGGCCCAACTGTTCCCTGAGTCCCTCGGAGCCCTCCCAGGCCCCCGATGTGGAGGTAAAGGGGCCTGGGGACAGCAGCTCCTCCGTCCCCCTCTGGTCACCCAGCCCCCCATGTGGGTATCATCCGTGCATGGGAAGACCTCCATCTCTCCTCCTCCCCTCCACACAGCTTTGCTGTGTCTGAGCTGTATTAGTTCTAGATGCTGTAAAGCCAGCGACCCCCGGTCAGCCACTCAGATATACAGACATTTCAAGGCGTCTCCTGGGCCGCCATGTTTGTCTGAACACCCAGCAAACACCCGGCCAGGGGAGAAACTCTCCCTGCTCAATGTGATGGGTGGCAGAGCCCCTTCCTCAGATGTGTCACCGGGAGGTCATGCTTGGTCTCAAGGCCATGTCCTGCGCAGGCTCCGGTGACCTTTCAGTTTGCTGCTTCTGCTGCCTGCTTGGTCCACCAAGTCAGCCAGGAGTTGTTTTGTTTTGTGGTACCGGGGATGGAACTTGGGACCTTGCACTTGCCAGGCAGGCGCTTATGCTGCTGAGCTGTATCTCTGGCTCCAGGATATATCTGCATCTTTATTTGACCAAGAGTGTCTTATGGGATGTCACCTACTCAAGCTGGGCATGGTGGAGCATTCATGTGACACCAGGACTCTGGGAGGCTGAGGCAGGAGGATTGCACTTTAAAGCTCAGTCTAGGCAACTTAGCAAAGATCTATTTCAAAATACATGGCCTAGGGCTGTGGCTCAGTGCGAAGACACTGGATTCAATCCCCCATACTGGGTGGGGGGATCGTTGGCTGATGGAGCCCTGAGCTTCAAAAGACAATGCCTGAGGGAACGTTTGGCAGAAGCCTTGGGAGTGGAAGGCTGTGGTCTCTTAGCGCCCCGCAAAGCGTAGGGCAGCGTAGTGCAGTGGCTCCCCAGTGCAGTGAGTGGAGCGCACCCTTTCTACATGAGATAAAAGAACTGGGGGGTCGCGGAGATAGCTCAGGCGCAAGAGCCTTAGTTCAATCCCCGGTTCCAGGGCGGGGGGACTGGATACAACTTCGATGTTGGCACCTAAGGAGGGTCTGGAGGGGGGAGGGACCCCCAAGACGCCAGGTCAGCGGGGCCGGGGTCCTCCCCAGCCTCGGGCAACCGTGCAGGGCGGAGACGTGAGTCCTACGGAAGACCCGGTGGGAGATGCTCGGCTGGAGGGCTCCCTCTCAGACCCAAGAGTCCACCAGGGTAGGAGGATGGAGGTAAGTAGGGGTGGGTTGTAGAGGGCAGTGAGGGGACACAATCGGAGCCTGACTCCAGGGCTACCGGCTGTCCCCACTCTCCTAGCGACACCTCAGGGTCCTGGAAGGCCTTGCTCCCTCCGGGGATGCGACTCCACTCTGGCCATATCCAGGGAACCCCGGTGCGCTTCTTGAAGAGCCAGTCCGGCGGCTGCACTACTGCAGTTGGCCTCCAGGGGGCGCCAGGGGTCGCTAAGTACTTGCAGGTCTGGGCCCCTGGACCTGACCCTGTGATGCGACGCCCCACGGCCTCAGTTTACCACCTTCCCCCAGCCACCTACTCGGATGCTGGGGCAGAGGAGGCCAACGTTTAATCGCTGCCATGGGGAGAGAGCTCTCTGGGCGGCCTAGGACTGCCACAGGGCCACGTTGGCGGGAGGCACGTCGAAGCGCTTGCGGGTGTGGTCAGTGTCCCTGCGGTACAGGTAGCCGCAGGTGGGCTTCTGCAAGGTGTAGAAGGGGCTCAGCGAGTTGGAGTACTGGGCAGTGTAGAAGGTGGCCCGCAGCGGGCCCAGAAGTTGCCCCTGGGGACCCAGGACCACAGGCACGTAGGCGGCTGCCAGCGACTGCTCCCGCTCCTGCATCCACGCCCGGGCCAGCGGGGTGCATGGGGGCTTCACCTTTGGGCCCGGCGACGTCTTCGACCCATGGGCCGGCGTGGGGTGATTCTGAGGAGAGGACAGGAGGGGCAGCTGGGACGCGGTGCCACCACAGGCCCCTGCTGTCCCCAGCCTGTGGCCTCGGCATGTCCACGCGGGCACTGTGGGCTTGCAGAGGCTGGAAACCTTCAGCTCCTGCCCTGCAGCTGGAGGCTGCGCTTGTCCTCCCCTCTGGGCCTTCTCCCCATCCCTGCCACCCTACTTCCTAGTAGTCCCCCCTCCTCTCCTTCAGCCTCTTGCTTTTCTATCCTGCATTTCTATTTGTCTCCGTCTGTCTTTCTTTCTTTCTTTCTTTCTTTCTTTCTTTCTTTCTTTCTTTCTTTCTTTCCTTCCTCTCTCTCTCACTTTCTTTTCTTCTCTTTCTGGCAATACTGGACATTGAACCAGGGCCTTCCCACTCAGCTACATCCTCAGCTTTTCTTTTTTAATTATTTTGAGATGAATCTAAATCCCCTTCCATCACTAAATACCCCACATTGGGTTGGATTTATGATCCTCCTGCAGCCTCCTGCTAGGACCACAGGCACGCACAATCACACCCGGCTCATCTTCTGTATGAATGGCTGGGCCCTCAGACCCTGCTCCTCCCCCAAACATCTTCTGCTCCCTGCCACCTAAAAAGTGAAGCTCAGAGCTTCCCTTCCTTGGGGCTCTGACTCAGGCCATGCTCCCCTCCAGGCTGTGTCCTCGCCAGGGGAGTCTCCCCTCTCATGACCAGGCTTTCCCGCCCTGGCAGCCTTCTCTCATTCATCAGGAACACTGGGTCTCCCGGGGACTTGGCTGGTTAGTGGCTCAGCAGCCTCTCCTTACCCTGGACATAGCAGCCTCGCACACCAAGGCATTGAGAAAGGCGGGGCTTTCGAGATGTGGGCTCAGCTCACCAGAATTCTAGTCCGGTGCCCAGCCTTCCGCTGCCTGCCATTCCACTGCAGAATGCCCAGCATTGTGACTGTGTGTCCCTACCCTGGCTTGACACCCACCCCTCTGTGGGGCCCCCATTGCCCCTGCCACTTACCTCCTGCTCTGCTACCCCCTTCTGGACTGACCCGTGACCAACAGTCTAGTTCACCCTAAACCCAACCCCATCTCCCAGGTTCTAGGTGTCTTTTTTTTTTTTTTTTTTTTTTTTTTCTGAATGCCTTCAGGGCAGGTTTGTGTTGTGGGGATCGAACCACAGCAACCTGAGCCTGACTGCTTTGTTGAAGCAGCCACTTAAAGAACTGAGCTAAGGGGCAGGTGTTATTTTATGTAGGGCCTTCCCAGCCCTGTCTGTGGCCATCCACCTCCATGTGACCAGGCCGGCTGTACTCCAGTCCCCCCAGTTTCCAGCACTAGGGGAACCCTGTTGTTCTCAGCCTACCCTTGGGGACACAGAGCCTCAGCTGCGAGTTAGGGAAGGGCAGTACCTGCCCTCTTACAAAAGAAAGCCCAGGGGCTCCCAGCTTAAGGCAGCCATTTGAATTTGATTTGCAAACCATTTGTCCAGTCCAGCTTTAGCAAGGACCTCCCCCTCCTGCAGGCCGTCTTTGCTCCTGTGTTTCCTGCTCAAGGGTACGGGTTGTGCACGGCACAATCACAACTTTCAAGGGCAAACAGTGAGATTCCATAGTAACACCACCATAGATAACCCCCTCAGTTTGGGCAAGAACACTATGATGTTCACAGTGAAACTTTACCTAACCTTGCATTTCTTAGAATGTGACATCTCACTGTACCTGTAGCCTCCACTTTGCATTTCAAAATTGTTCTTCTTCTTCCAAGCCCAGCAGCTGTTCCCCGCCCACCG